TATATATATATATATATATATAATTACCTAAGAATTTTAACGCAAATGTATTCGTGCATATACATTGTATAGAGAAGACAATTATTTGTTAATAGAGTTTTCGATAAGAGACTGGTTAATTAAGGAATCGTTGATTGATGTGTATAATTACCGAGATTCGAAATTTTTTATGACCCATCACCGAGAAACACAAACAAGTACCATATTTATGTCCCTGTTGTGTATTTATGAATTCATCCATTACATACTAAATCGCAATATTACCAATCAATTTTGAAAACAGTGTTAAGAAAATTAAATATTCGCTTCTTTATATCAAAATAGGTTATATTTATTTCTCGAAAGATTGATGGAAAATGATCTTGGTTACGATTTATGGATAACTTCATTCTCTTAAGGAATCTACACAAAGCTTTGATTTCTGGCACATATAAAAAATATTCTGCATTTTAAATTCTTCTCGTGAATTTTTATTTTAAGAGAAATAAAACTAAATTTAATCAAGTTAAATATATCAAAACCTAATTAATTTAATAATTAACTTATAAAACTATTAAAATTATTTTTTGCTTTTCTTCCACATATTAAAATGCTACAAATTGAAATTCGAATATAAGTATATATCAATGATAAGAAAATAATCTCTTGAACCTAACAATATAAATATAAATTTTTTATAAACAGTAAAATTAAATTTGAAATAAAAAATTATTTACAATCTCTTTGGATTTCTAAAAATTATGCTTCGTTAATTTCACGATGAATGCGCCACTGAATTAATTTTAAATATGAAATTTTACGTCACTGACGGTTTATTTTCTCCAGTCGGCAATATTACGGCTTGTACGACGAAGATGATGGCGACCCTATAGGATTAACTTTATTTTTGAAGTTTCAAATATCCGAGACATTGAAATTATTCGATAATATTAACTAATTAATAACATATAAAAATCAATGACTTAAAAATAGATAATATCAGAATAGAATTTTTATGTAAAATATATAATTATATTAATTGCGCATTAATATTACATTGCGCATCATAAAAAAAGTTTTGGTTTTGGAAAATATTTTTGAAAAATTTTATTATTATTTTCAAACGACGACTTTTGACAATAGTTTTTTTTAAGATCTGTTCTCCAAAATATCTCACTTTTTTACAATTTTCGACAATTCTCGATATAATAATAGTAATAATAACAAAAAAAAATATACGATTCAATTTTTAATATGACAAACTCTCTCTCTTTCTTTTTTTCACAAATTATTATCTTAATGAAACATCTTTATAGAATTCAAGAACCCATAATCCCCCTAATGGGGCCCATACTGATATACGTCACTGTACCGATTTACCGAGTACGGTCGAGGAACAGGTCGCAACGTCGCGGCCCCACAGTCGCGTCGGCGCTCCGTTCGCCAGCCGTCGTCAAACTTGTTCTTCAGTCGATCTTCTGATGTGCCTTCGTTATTTCACTTGATGATGTGCAAATCATAGTGCGAAATTTATTATTTACGAAGGAGACATAAGTATCCAGATCTCCAGTGGATTCTTTGAAGAATTATATTCACTTTGACAGTTGAGAGATCCTTAGCGGTCCCTGAGACCGCTATGTCTTTACACACCATGGTGGGCCCAAGCCCGACTTAATAAAACTTATAAAGAAGATACCAACCGATTTGTAAGCAATATCTCAAGAAATTAATTGATCTTTGAGGAATATATTCAATATTAATATCAAAATAATAATAATTGATTAAAATAATATATATTAATTGGACTGATTAATATAATAGTAGAAAATATTCGAAAAAATTTTAATAACTAAATTAAATAATAAATTATTATTATAGAGAAGTGAGAGAAGATAGTGACTACCGTTGGTTTACCAAAGGACCTTGGAATAATTATGTACAATGTAAGCGCGATGTCAAAAATTCCAGTGACATTTTCACATTTATTTTTGAGTTAGCTCATATGTTTGAAAAATCTGATCGGAATAAGAATGAAAGAATGCGCACCACATAGGTGCGTAGAACATATAAGTTTGTCCAAAAGCACAAAAATTAAAAAGTAAAAAAAATGTGCAAAGAGAGAGATTTATGTGATTAACGAAAAAAATGTTAATAGTGATAAACGCAGCATAACAATAACGTACGCGGTACGCAAGGATCATTGCCTTTTTATCAGCAATTCTCAGTATTATCTTGAAATTGAACGATTATTTCTAAACATTTACTAAAGATACCGACTTTTACACCAAATTAGACCTTCTCTTTAAAGTACCATATTTGGATCTGATAAATAGATAGTAATTTCTTCTAATGAATAAAGATTAGACAGATGATTGTGTTAAAATCGATGAGGTGCGCATATCTTGTAAATATCGAGTGATCTGTGAAAACTGAGACGACTCGAGTGAGATCGGAGTGCGAATCGAATAAAACGTGTCGAATGGAGTGACGCCAGGATTTCTCGCAGATCATCGTCATCGTGTCTCATCGATGTAGCGCGATGTCGGCTTGGTGGCCTGTCGTGGCGGCGACGCTGTGCTTCTGGATATCCGCTGGTGAGTTTAATGCGTGATTATGCCAGTTGACCGATCGGAATTTATTTATATTATAATATCTCGTCTCCCTTAAATATATCATCAGAAAAAAAAGAAGCTTTTTTTTATAATAGTGATGACTATACAAGTTTTATATTTAGAATTAATACACACACGTAATGGATGAATTATTTTAGTTATTCCAATTAAAGTTAAATTAATTATTAATTCTTCTTGTAATCATTCAATTTTAGTTGCAATAAAACGATATAGAAAAGTTTATTCAACTATATATATTAATTCTACATAAAATTTGTAATTGTCACTTATATAGTTGTCATCATTATAAAAAGTGCTTATTTTTTTCTATGAGTGTAGATTTAAAATAATAATCTAAACTTTGTGATGTTAATTAATTAATATAATAATAAATAAAGAATTTATTTTTATATAAAAAAGTTTTAGTTCCGTAATACGTAATAAATATCTATAAAATTAATTTGAATCTGAAAGAAATTGATTTCTAGAAAAAAAATGCGAAATTGAGGATCCGAAATTAAAGATCCGAAAATTTATCAATATTTTATAAAACGTATGTTAGAAAATGAATATTTTATAAAACATATGTTAGAAATACCTCCTTTCTACGTATAAACAAAAAATAATCTGTAGCATTTGTGGAGCAATATAATTTCTATAAGCTATTTATTTTTACTAAAGAATTAATGAATATTTTGGAATAAAAATAAAATTTTAGCAATAATTCCATAGGAAATAATCTAAAAATTGCTAATTAATTTTGTATTTTTTTTTAAATAATTGTTACATATTAAATAATTGTTTAAATAATTGTAACATCAATATATGCGTTAAGTTCTCTTGGAAAGACATATCTGATATGAGCTATAAATATACAATATATGTATATACGCTTTCTAATATATATGGAGAAAGCCATATGTATTCGGATGTACATGGATGTTAGAGCGATCTTTATTTTAATATTTAAACGTAAAATATCGTTACTCTGATATCTAATATATATATTATTATATATATTTTATATATATATTTTTATTTATTTTATAATTTTGCTTTTAGTGTAAAACAGTAGACATGCAAGATAATGACGTTCAATGTAGTAAATCCTGCTTACGCCAACAATTCCTTTCTCTCCAGACCATGCTATTATAAGTTGCCTTGCTATTATAAGTTGCCTTGCCATGTAACAAGATACCATGCATTTGTGCAACAATAATCTCATCATGTTATTTTTGCACAGTAATTTGTTTCTTTTCTAAATTTATGAGAAATCTTAGGTAATTGTTAAAAGAATTTGGAATATTCTTTAAAATATAAACTATATATTCACGATAAAATAATAATTTTAATAGGCTAACT